GAACCACTTGTGAAACAATTCCTCCCGAGATCCCTGTGACAGCTCCCAGTGCGACGGCTGGTGCCTGCAGGACCCTTGTCTGGGGTGCAGCTGCTCCCTCCTGAGCACAAGGTGAGTGTCCTGCAGGGCCACTGCTGGGGAGGCACGAGCTGCTCCAGCCAGGGCTGACCCTGCCCGGAGTGGAGCTGTCCTCCTTTGCTGCCAAGGGGGAAACTCCTGTGGGAGAGGGATGGAAGAAAGTACAACAGAAAACCCACGGTGAGAAGGTGTGCCTGTTCCACTGCAGTTTGTCACTCTGTGTGTGGGTGAGTCTGATGCTGTGACCATCTGCTTCATGCAGGAGGCACTGGGTGAGGACAACCAGGGCAGGGCCTGGCACCCCAGTACAACCTCATGTCAAAGGCTTGTGCATTTTGGGACTTGTGTTCCACTCTGTGGAAATGAAGGTTATTTGGTTTGTGTCAGCAGTGAGTCCACAGTACTTGTTGTGCTTCCCAGCTGGTCTCTTACCTTGTCTAGAGGGTCTCAAAGTGATGGGGATGGATGATTTTTCTCTTGGGAAATGGTGGTTTGGGTTTGGCTGGAAACTTGTGCTCTCAGATGAAGAAAAGGAATAACACTCTAAGTGGGGCAAACACAGAGCAGAATTCCTACCAAGGAAGGGAAAGCTGAACACTGGCAGCATCATTTTTGTTGTGCACATCTCTCTTCCTTCCAGAAGGGGAAGAAGACATACTAAAGCTGTGCTAATATTGACAGTATGGATCTATTTTGCCTGGTTTGGGGTTACACACAGTATAAGGGTTTGATGTGCTTACTGACTTGCTTTGTCTTATAAATTAGTGAAACAAACCTTGGAACTGGAATAGAAATGCTCCTCATTAGGAGGCAGAGTTTTTGATCTGTGTTGTCCTGCTCTGTCCCCGTTCTCCCCCTGCAGCAAACAAACACCAGGCTGTTCATGCCCAAGCTACAATCTGGCCAAGTCCCCGTTAACAACCTCTTAATTTGGGGGTCCCACAATAGCACAAATGACTGGAAAGAGCAAAAACTGCCATGTTGCCATTTTACTCAGATTAATATGCAAATCAGGAGACAAATGCATCCAAGGGATGTAGGTCATGGTGAGACACGAGGAGTAGGAGCAAGGGATGAGCACTGGAGAACCAGGGGACTCTCAGGAGGCCTCCTCCACCTCCAGCTGGTGGCTGCAGCTCCTGTTGGTCTGTGGGAGTTACTCAGCAACTCTGCCACTGTACCTTGGGTTTGTGATGAAGCTGAAACCTCATTCAGACTCCTCTGCAGTGCAGGAGCATTTCCCAGGGCTTTCCCAGTCCAGGTGCTTCTTGCAGCACTCACAGGGGAATGGAGATGGCCAGAAATCTCTGTGAGCCTGATAAGGATCCTGCTGCCTCACACTGCTCAAACACATCCAGGAGGTCAAAGTCTGCCCCTCTGTGCAGAATCACAGCTTGAGGTTTGTTTGCAGAGCTCCTCAGAGCAGGTTTGTGAGCTGATACTCGTCAGAACAAAATGTCTGAGGAACAGACAAACCAAGTCATCCCTAGCAGACTGAGCCAGGGTCAGACAAACATTAGTTCTGCTGATCTCCAGTGCTGCTGAACTAAAATCTGAGCTGGTTTTATTTGTGTAGGCGCTCCACTGAATGACACTGCTCGTGCTGCCTCCAGCTCTAAAACCCTTATCTTGATTTCAGTTGGAGTAGCCGCACTGACTGTGCTTTAAAGAAGTGACCAAAGTGATTATCTCCATTTTATAGCAAGAAAACTGAGACGTGGCAAGTAGGCAGGGTAGTAACCAAGGCAAAATGCAACCTGAGCTCCTGTGCCTTATCTGTGCCTTCCATTGCCAGCCTCCTGAAGCTGCCACCCCTCCCCACCACTCAAACCTCTCCACAGGGCAGAAGCAGAGCTCAGGGTGCTCAGGTTATTTTTTTACCTTTCCTGCTATTAGCTTTGATGATGTGGAAGGCAGCTTCCAGCTCTGGGCTGTGCCAGGGGTTCAGAAGGCTGCATGCCCAGCCCATGGCACATCATGGCACAGCCCCTGCCCCAGGCCAGGCTGCTGAGGGGGCCACAGTCCTCCCTCAGCTGTTCCCTGTGACAGCATCCTGGCTAAACTCCACAGCTCTCATTCACTCAGGTGAAAATTCCACAGTGTTCAGCCAGACTTGGGCTTGACAGTGAAATTAAGGAGAATCAGTCAAGCTGAGGGATTCATAAAACAGTCCTGGCCTCAGTCTCTGGCAGGAAAACACTCCCACAGTCACTGATCATCCTGCAGAGTCCCTTCCACAGTGTAAAGGACAGCACAGGAAAGCAAAACCCAGCCAAGCTGACAGACTGGTTTTACTTCAAACCAAAGGCACTATATATATTTTTCAGGTTACAGCGGTGCCTTCTCGATACCTCCCAGTACCTGTCTACACCTGAAGTTGTACTGCTCTGGGTATACTAATCCCAGCCTGCCTAGAAATTATCTTTTCCTTCATCTGCTCAACAAGGAAGAGGAATGAGCTGAGTCACAGCACAAACTTGTTGGCAGAGCCTGAGCCCAGCCCACAGCACCGACTGTGGAGTGCCCCACCTTTGTGTCCCAATGCTCCTGCCAAGCCTGGGGCACTCCCTGGGCACTGCTGGGAGGGCTCTTGCTGCTGGGCATTGTCCTATCACACCAGCTCATCCTGCAATGCCTCTGAGGAAGGAGTAGTGCAGAATTTCCTTGATGATACATGTTGTAATGAAGTCTTATCTCAACTATGACTTCTCTGACAGAACAACACAGGAGCAATGAAGCCTCCTCCCGACTTTCCTGGAGATGAAGTCACAACTACGCTTTACAGGTTAGTCAGCTGGGCTTTTTTAAACACAAAACACTCCATCCTTGAACCCTGCCTCCAGCTCAGGTAAGCTTTATTCAGAGGGAGCACTAAAAGTTCAGCGATGTTGTTTGAAGAGGTATCAAGCCCACAGCCATAACCAGTGAACAAACTTCCCCGTAAGACCGAGGCAAACTGGACAGTGTTTGCAATTCCCACAGAAACAAACACTTTAACCAAGGCAGCACCAGCCCTGCCAGTGCCTCAGGTAACAGGAATGCACAAACACACTTCTGTGTTCCAGGAAATACAGACAAAAAGTGTTCCATGTCCATACACTTAGAAAGACACTTTAAACCAGAGCCCTTTTCTATGCGGAACTCTGTGAGCAGACACAGTGCAGCACAAATCAAGGCTTCCAAGGACCACACTGGCCAACAGTCACACCAACAGCTATGCAGCAAATTGGATTTTATTTTTTTAAACCCTACTCCAGATATAGAAGTCATGAGGTGCTTGATCATTAACCTTTGCTTAACAACTTAATTAGTTCAATACAGAAGCAGACCAGTGCAGAATAATCCAGTCTCTTCCTAGAACAGGTGCACCAGAGCTCCCTGCAAGCTCTGATCACGCTCCCAACCAACTCCAGGGACTTCAGGGAGAGCACTTGAAAGCAAAGAGGGCAGTGCCTCCACCTTCAGTCCTACAGCATTCCTTGCTGAGCATTTGGGACAAGCCAATTATAGCCAGTTACAATTACTAGGCTTAATTCAAGGCAGAAAAAAACCACATTCCTGAAGTCACTGACTGGGACAGAAAGGTAAAGCATGCAAACAAGTGTTTCTGTGTGGAAACCAAAACACCTGATGGGGCTCCAAAGCAGAGCCAGCACAGCACTGCTCTCACCTTCATCACCTCAGAATTATACAGGTTTCTAGTCACATTTTTAGAGAAAACATGCTGTTTTAGCAGACTGGCCCCAGGAGTTGGACAGTTTCTGTTCACAGCTCTGCCTCTCTGCATTACCTTTAACCAAATGGTAATTAAAAAAATAATAATCTCACTGCAAATATACTACTTAACCTGCAGTTAGCATGCTTTTTGGAGCTACGAGTAGCTCTATACATAGAACAATTATGTTAATCATACAAAAGACGAGCTAGTTTTAGGTCAGTGAATCATGCTGTTAAGATAAACATCGCTGCAAGAGGTCATGCAGACATTCCATCATGAAACACTTAACATAACATAAAGCCCAATGTTTATAAACATTTATTGTAAATAGGTCAAAATCAAAGGCCAAGTTTTAAACAAAAAGAATCAGACGTACAAGCCCAACTTTGTTTCCAGTTGGCTACTTAGAAACTCTGCAGGTTCTGATTCCCAGCTTTTCAGTTCAGTTTTTCACTACCAACAAGGTTTTTATCCAGATTAAGTTGATTGAACTCTAGTCACATGTTCACAGTATCATCAAGACGTGGTTAGTACCACCTGGTCAAAAACTCTTCCAGGAAGAGAAAAAAAATTAAAATGCCAACCAAGCTTCCAAACTGAGGTAGACAAGTCATGGTGACTTGAGTGCTGAAGGTTGGGTTCTGTTTTCTTTAAGTTGTTCATCTAAAGAAATGCATAAGGCAACAACTGCGATTGTTAGTATTTCTGATAGTGAGAAACTTTGTTTTGAAAAAGTACACAATTTTTGTAAATAGAAATATCCCTCTTCTTCTACCAAAATAATCAGAAACATCATAGAAAACTATGTATCTTTCCTCTGATAATTTAAGTCTGCTAGATAACAAGCCCTGTTAAAGTAGCCAGCTACCAGCTTGCTGTTCACAGTGCAAAATATGCAATCCTTCACCTCTCTTCTGCTCTCCAACCCAGGAACACACATCAAGATGGCTGTACCTCGAGCATTTTCACCTGTCTACACACACAGAGGTTGTTTTAGTTTTTCAAGCATTAAGTCTGTGGTCTCCCCCAGTGCCTCTGCACGATGGTACAGACAGCACGTACAACACTTCCTGGCAGCTCCCTTCCCACAGGCATCTGGAGCTGGGTTTCCATCCTGTGGACTTTGGATCCAGACCGTATCAGCCATTTAGTCAAACATCCAAAATGACACACACGGAGAGAAGAAATCCAAACTGCTTCTGCGAGAGAAAACTGAGACAGCAGCCACGTTACTGAACAATTTTGATCACAGTAAGGCAGAGGTTAGTGGCCAAAGAACAGCTCAGAAACGGGTCTGCGTTTCACGACGACCTCTTCCTCCTCCTCCATCACCTCGGAGAGGGAGGAATACGAAGGGAAGCCCCCTCTGGTCTTTGGCTTCCTCCTCGGGCCCGTAGTGGCAGCCAGAAGCTTGTTTAAAGTCGAGGGCTTCCTTAAACCCTTGGTGAGATCATAGAAAGCCATGTCATCGGATATGACCCCCAGGAAGGTGCTAGTGGAGCTCAAGATTGAAGCTGCAAGCTTTGTGGACTTCTTGATGGGCATGGAGTGCTCCGTGTTTTGGGAAAGGCTGGGGTCCCCCAGCAGGCGCCTGATCGCGAGGGAGGTCCCTTCCCTCAGGTACTGGTGCGCCTTCTTCCCGCTGTAGTCCCTCAGGTCGGTGTTGGCGTGGTAGCTGTAGACCAGCATGGTGATGATCTTCTCCTGGCCGTGGATGGCGGCGAGGTGCAGGGCCGTGTACCCGCCGTGCGACCGGGCATCCACGTTGACCCGGGCCCCCCCCTTCTCGGCCGCCCGGATGATGTTGGTCACCATGTCGCAGTTGCCGCTCTTGGCGGCCCAGTGCAGGGCGGTGAAGCCGGACACGAAGTCCCTGCGAGCCGCCAGGCTGGCATCGCCCAGCAGGAGCCCGTGGAGCTGCTGCGTCCACTGCCCGCCGGCCGCCAGCACCAGCCACTGGTGCTCCGCCTGCTCCAGCGGCACCACGGTCTCCTCGCTGCCCCGGTGGGCCTTGGGCCCCCGCCGCAGCCCCGGGGAGCGGGACCCGGCCTCGTCCTCCAGGGGCGGCGGGGACAGGGCTGCGGGCGGCTCCGACGGCGCTGCCGGCGGCTCGGAAGGCGCTGCCGGCGGCTCCCCGGGCGGCCCGGGCGCGGGGACGGGCACGCAGCGCACGGGCAGCATGCAGGGCTTGGGGGGCGGCTCCCGACGGGCCCCCCCCGCGCCGCCGGGCAGGGGCACCCATCCGCCACCGCCATGGAACAGGCCCCGCAGCTCCGACACCGCCCGCGGCCCCGGCGGCTCCTCGGGGGGCGTCCCGGCGGGGCCGGGCCCCGGGCCGGGGTCAGGGACAGGCACCGGGGCCGGGCCGGCATCGCCCCCCGGCAACACCGCGCCCCCCGCAGGCGGGGCCGCGCGCAGCTCCCGCCGCAGCACCACGAACTTGGCGCCGTCGATGTCCTTCACCGTGGCCACGGCGTTCACCGCCGCCTTGAACCGCTCCCGCCGCTCCGCGCGCCCCTCCGCCGCCTCCCCGGCCCCGGCCCCGGCCCCGGCGGGCTCCAGCAGCGGCCGGAAGGCGCTCACCAGGTCGGCGTTGCGCACCCGCCCGCCGCGCTCCCGCAGGAAGCCCAGCACCGCCTCCGCGCTCAGGGCGAGCTCCGCCATCCCAACCCACAGGTGCTGCTGCCGGACGGGCCCGCGGCGCTCGCAGGCGGCGGCACCTGCGGGGGTGCGCGGAGGTGCTCGGAGGTGCTCGGGCCGGCCCCGCAGTGCCGCCCCCCGGGCGGTGCCGCGCCGGGGCCGCTCCTCTCCCCGTGCGGGCGGTGCCGGGGCGGGGCGGGGCGGCCCGAGCACCTCCGCGCACCTCCGCGCCCGCCGCCGCCTGCGAGCGCCGAGCACCGCTCCGAGCCCCGGCCCCGCGGAGCGGCCGGACCGCGCGGGGCACGGGCGGGGCCGGCGGGAGCGCACCCAGAGCCGAGCCTGGCCCCGGCCGCTCGCTGCACTGATGTCCTCCTCGGGGAACGGAGCCCTGGGTATCAGTTCTCCGGAGACTCCTCGGGCAGGGGAGGACCCTTCATCGATTTACTCGTCTTCATGCTTCCTGAAACGAGTGGGGTTTGTTTGTTTGTTTGAGTAGCAAATAAGTGGAAGCAGCTTTAGGTAGAAATCACCGCAAAGTTCGGTCTCCATTCCCGGAGAAGCCTCTGGTGTCCTGCGGGAGCTGCGATCCTGCTAGGTTAGGGTCTGATGCCTCAAAATGAGTCAGAAGATTGGGGATGGGTCAGTTTTTTGAAATATCCTCACCTCTATGTGATGCTATATATTATTGTATATATATTGTCATATCCCCCACCCTGTGCATCTCTCTCCCCCCTTGCTCATGCTGACCTCCATTCTGCTTCTTCACACCTTTTACTGAGGGTGGAAGAGCCACTTCCCACAGATAGCTCAGTCTTCCTTTGGCAGTCTTTACCCTTCTCTCTTTGTGCAAATGTCTGAAAAACTATTTCATCTCTTGCTAATGAGCTGGTGCCAAGCCAGTTCCTTAAAATCATTTTTCTGCTCTAATGCTCTTTCACATAATGGTGTGTAATCTTCTTGTAGTAGCTCTGTGTTTCCATGTGAATGGCACACCTCTCATTGCTGCCTGTTCCCGTGGCACACACAGCAGCCTCGCCCTCGCTGAGCAGCCCCTCTGCTGTATGAGCACTGCTCTCAGCTCGTGGCATCGCCACAGTCTGCCCAGCCTACACAGAGACCTAATAATGAGCCTGCATCCAAATACCAGTTGTTGTGCCTTGCTTCCACTGTTCACATCCTTACTAGAATCCATTGCAGGCATAAGAAAATGTCAGCAGTCTGGGATTTTTGCATTGCAAACTTTCAGCTCTACCCAAGGATTACAGTTCATATCTGCAAATGAGTGAGAGGAGTGAAAATAGTTCAGAAGAATAGGCTCTTCTAAAAAACGTTTTCTTATGTTACAAATGTTAAGGGAGAAGTTGCTCCTGTTGCTTGATTTGGTTCAAGTGGTCTCACTGCACCCCATCACACCCCTGTATCCTTAAGACCATGAGGGTGCACGTGAGGTGTCACATCCCACTCATTGTATCCCCAGCCAGGCACCATTCCTGCACAGGGATCTCCATGCACCAGGCTCCCAGGACACCTCACTGTTCAGCAGCCAAGCCTTGGGTCTGAGGTCCCATCACCTCCCCAGGGGCTTGCTTTGGGTCACGGTCCAAAAAGAGAGGAGTTACTGTAACTGTTCCCCACTGCAGGTCCTGGCATCCCTTTTTGACGGCTGCAGAGCAGAAGGGCACATACCCAGGAGGTCAGAGAGGAGGAGACAGGATGTCTACACGTGCACCTCGGGCCATGCCGAGTGTGAACTGGCTGCTCTCATTTAACCACTCTGCCCAAGGACCTCTTCACCCAGGTAATGCCTCCAACCACTGTCTCACATGCACTCGCTTTGTGTGCAACCTGTAGCATGTAGCTGTGCTCCTCTTCACAGTCTTTCTCTCAGTGGGTGTTAGTAACTGAACACCCACAGTAGCCTTCTATACTTTCTGTAATAAAGGAAAAAGCAACACTTGTGGCTAATCCTCCATAGGATTTCCAGACCACAGCATGGGGCACATCATGTTTGCCAGCCTTTCCTTTTGGCTGTTAATGCCTTTTGGTTCCCCACCTTTCAGGATGAGTGCCAAGTACCAGCTCCCAGAGAGCATCTTTTAGTTTGCTGGGCGCTGGTCACACTCTGATCAGATTATGCAGCAGAAATTAAACTGAATGAATTTTATTAATATAGGTAATAAAATCCTGGAGCATTATGGGTGTTATGCTTATCAGTCATCTGATATTTCCAGCCTTAAAAAGCGTGAGAAGTTTTGCCTTTTTTTCTGTGTCACCAAAAACCTACAAAGCAAGTATTTTTTTGCGGGGCTATTTACAGAATATCGTGGGCTGTTTTGTAGGAGATTTCAAGCCAACTGTCTTGATATTTTTAATTTACAGAACAATGTACAGAATCCCATGATTAAATTAATTTACTACTACTTTTTTAAACACCAGTATTGCAGTTTGCTAGTTCTGCATCACAGGCTATAGAGAGCTGGCCTCTATTTATAACCATGTGGCTGAGGAGAGTTACCTTTCTCGTGAAGAAGCTTCCCAAACCTTCAGGTTATCATCATTACAGTGAAGTAAACTGCATAGTGAACCTGGGGGCTTTTCCCACCACCTCAGGGGTGGAAGGTGAAGGTTATATGACTGTAATTATCTACACCACACAAAACCGGGAAATAAAGTGGGAGATCAAGCACAGCATCTAGTCAGAGCAAAGTTTCTACTGACCAAAACTGACAGAGATGGTATCCCAGGTCTTGCTCCTTCCCACATGATATTCTCAGAGCCCCAAGAGAGACAAAGCCAGGTTGGAAGCAACAGAGGAAGAAAAGGGAATGTGGGGGATAGTCCCTGTCAGACAGGATGCTGCTGCTTTGCAGAAAGGTGAAGGTTAGGTGCTATTGACTACACATGGGATTTTTACCTCAAGAAAAACCTACTTTCCTCCAAAATGAAATCGGGGTTCCCAGAATAAATAGAATAACAAAGCCCATGATTTTCCACTTTCCTTGTTGGTGTGTTCCTCATGTGAAACAAAGAGCGCACATTGTGAGGGAAAATAGCTCTTCCTTTGTTCCATGGAGAAATGCAGTAACCTTCCATAGATAAACAATTGAGCAAAAGTCTGTGAAGGGGCAGGAAGGGGGGGAAGATTATTTACAGATAAAAGACATTTTCTCATAAATGAGCAAGGTTCAGCTCTAACTCGAGGGCCTCAGTAACCAGTTCAGAGAAGGTTTCTTAATAGCAACTTTCAAATGCAGTTTACCATGTATCTCCTATTGGCTTTCAGCTTAGAAGGGTAGCATTTCTGTAGAAATGCTTTATGTGCTCCATATATTGTCAGTATAACCAATGAAATTTTAATATAAAGTGCTTGGTGGTGCTGCTGCTAAAAGTGTAGCTATAAACCATTTGGTTTCTAATAATCCCCAGGACACACTGTGAGGAGTATAGAGTTACTAATAAACTGCTTCCTCTGGCCTGTGTTGAAAACCCTGAAGGAGTTCTGTTTATCTGCACCACCTAGATTTGAAGATCAAGGTTTTTACTCAGCCCTGGAAGATGCAGCCATCTTCAAAAGGCCTTGATCTTGCTGCTGCACTCGTGTGGCAGGTGAGATGACCTCTTGCTCTTTGTGGCTGCCTGTGAAATCCAAGGGGCTGTTTTAGCATTTACTTCACTTTCCTTGCCTGTTCCTGGGTCACAACACGAAGAGGTAAAGCAACTCTTGCTGATCTCCCCACCATCAGAACTGTGCTGCTGCACTGCCACCATCCCTGCAGAGAGAGGGCATTTTCCCTCCTCTCCCCAGGACAAAGAGGTTCCAGGGACACATTTGTGCCTCTCCAGTCCTTTGTGCTCTCGGCCCCAGCTCTTTACGTGTAGGAAGTTTATAGCTGTCGTGGGTTGAGGTGGCTGAGTTTTTTGGTACTGGGGGGGCTACAGAGGGTGGCTTTGGTTAGAAGCTGCTGGAAGTTTCCCCCCAGTGAAGCCAATGGTAGCTGGCTACAGGAGGGACTTCCTGCTGCTGGCCAAGGGAGAGCCAATAGTTGCACCTCTGTGATAACATATTCAAGAACAAGGTGGTTGTGCAGAAGAATTCCACTCTTTAGATCTTATCCTGTTAGTAATAAATTTTTGTATTAACCCCACATTGAGTCTGTTTTGCCTGTGTGACCTCTCCCAGCTCAGAGCAACTTTAGTGGGTGTCTGGAATCCGGCCAAGATCAACCCACGACAATAGCTCACCCTAAATTCACTGTGGATTTAGCAGGTACGAATATTCCACAGAGTTTAAAAGCCTTGCAGGAGCATCCAGCACTCTAATATACTATTAATTAAGGCACTATTAGGAATAATTTGCAAAACAATTGATGCCTTAGCAGTTAAAGGAGCCACCAAATCCAATTCACTTCTCTTGAAACAGTTTTTATGCAACTGAACCTTTTGAAATTAGCAGGGCTTCTCTTGGACTGGCATCAGAAACAGTGTGCTTTTTGAAATAACAAGGTGTTTAAAAATAATTTCAACCTTTTACACATGCTCTGCTGTCCCAGAGCTCTGGCCCACGCTGGTGGCAGTGCTGCTGGACAAAGGGACAGAGGACTCCAGCTGCAGGAGGGCTGGGCAGCACAGCTCAGAGCCAGCAGACAGCGGTGTTGGCCCTTGATCTGTTGAAATGTCTCACGATTTCCTTTATGCCCTGAATCTTTGCGTCTGACCTGCAGCTCACAGAAACCAGCAGCTGTTTGGGAACCAGCTTTTGTGAGCCTTGTCTTGTTACATTGTGCACTTTATTGTCAGGGAAAAGAGCTCTTAATGAATCAAAGTCAATTACTTCTCCTAAAGTACCTGGCATTTTGTCTTAAATCAGGACTCCCAAAGCTGTCTGTAAAGGGGAAAAAAAAAAAGGAACGTTTTAGTGTTTTTATTTGTTTATTTTTGCTTCCTTGTGATATATAAAGGCAACCTGGAAAATTAACTCTGCTCCTATATAAACTGTTCTACTTGCACCTGGACCAGGTTGCTCCAAGCCCCACCCAGCCTGGTCTC